CAAAACACTAGCAAACACATTAAATTCGTTCTATAATCAACAAATTAAACATACAAATAAAGCGTTATTGGTATAAACTCCGTGTGCAAAACACACTAATCAAGAGACGAGCTTGAAACAAGCTGCCCGTAGATTCACTTGTGCAAAGATGAAGTTGAGGGCATTGAATGACTTCACTCAAGGGTAGAAAATTCTTGAGGTTACTAACATTATGTCACGATTTCAGGTGGGTTGTCGAATTTCATTTTGTTGGATTCCTTAAATTTATATTTTGTTTCAATCAAGTTGCTCCATCGACGTCCATTAGTTAGCCTCTCGATTGAAATGAAAATATAAATATGATGATTAATTGTAATAAAATGAAGTTAAAATGACTTTCTTGAAATCAAGTTATAGTTAGCCAGAAATTTTTACCCCTTCTACCCGGTTTTCTTTTTCTTGTTATGTGCACAAAGATACAATTCCTTACGATATTTAAATGGTAGTTAATAAAATGCACAAACATATTACCCCTTTTGGTAGAGATTCTAAGTTAAAATGAATTGTTAATTTTAACTACATAATTTGTGGGATCAACCTTTATAAAAAAAATATTCAAAATCTTATTTTAATCCGCATGGGCTTAACATGAAAGTACTTTTGATAGTTAACATAAAAATTTATTTATAAGTGTGCAAGGTTTGGATGAATAATATTATATTATTTTTAAGAAAAATCAAAATAAATAATTTTTGCTCCTTTGGTTCAGATAAAAATAAATTTTTTTAGTAGATTTTGATAAAAATTAATGAAATCTGTCATTAAAAAAGTGTGGGTTCCATGTGTAATTAAAATTAATTAACGATTTCAACTCAACTTTTAATCTAATTTTTTAATTGAACCAAATAGAGGCACAGCAGGTAGGGGTGAGCAAAAAAATTGAAAAATCGATCAAACAGACCAAACCAAACCAACTCGAGTCGATTTGGATTGGTTTGAACCAAGAAATTGGTTTGGTTCAATTAATTTTAATCATGAAAAGAGTCAAGTCGAGTTGATTACGGTCTAAGCAATCAACACATTAGGTAACCAACTCAACCCAACAATACATTTTTTTATTTTTTTAAAATTCAT